CCCCACGAGTTTTTTTCTTATTCTCGATAATATCCTACTTAGCACTGGATCATGTCTCGTTTCCGCAGCCATTCTGTCTAAAGACAAAACATCAGTCTCTATCAAGTGTAGGAATGAATCTTCAAATTCTTCCTCTGTTTTATCTTTTGACTCCTTGTAGAACCGCAATCTTGATAGTGCGTCCACATGTGGAATTGAATTTCCTTTGACAAATCTATATCAAAGTCAAATGCCATCAATCTTATCGCCCATCATAGAATCCTTGATGTCGTGACTTTGGGTAATTCTTTCCTTGGGTTAAATATAAACTCTAATGGTCTATGATCACTTCTTAATAGAAATTTTTTCCCAATTAAAAATTGTCGGGCTCTGGTAGTTGTCCACATGATAGCCAATGCTTCTTTTTCTATGTTCGAGTAATTAAATTCAGTGTTCATTAGTCTTCTCGATAAATACATTATTGGATGTCCTTCTTGTGATAATATTCCCGATATTGAATGTTCACTTGCATCTGTAGTGAGTGTTATGTCCTTTTTTTGGATCAAACATTTTCACTACAGGTTTCTTTGACATAATTTCTTTTAATCTTTAAAAAGCTTTTTGCTGTTCGTCTGACCACATAAATTCCACATTCTTTTTTCTTAAATTTGCAAATGGTTCCATCAAGTCCGTGTATTTTGGTAAGTATCGCCTGTAAAAATTTACCAATCCCAAAAAAAGACTCCAATTCTTTTTCATTTGTAGGTGTAGCTACTTTTAGTATTTTTTTTTATCAAGGCTTGGTCTGGTGACATAGCTTCTTTTGAAATGGAATAACCTAAAAAAGATATTTTGTTAGAATTGCTTATGCATTTTTTTTCATTTATCGTCATTCCAGCATTTCTTAATCTATTAAAGACTAAGTCAGTTTTCTCTTTTAATTCCTTTTCATTAGTATTCCTATGCATATGTCGTCTTGGTAACAAATCATATTTTTTTTGTACATTTCCTAAAACCTGTTCAATGGCCCTTTGAAATATGGCGCTTGCGGTTTTTATTCCATATGGCATCCTTTTCCATCTTAGTAACCCTATTGGTGTGTTTATTGTGGTTACTTCTTTGAAGTTTTTGTCTATTGGTATTTGGTGGTATGCCATTTTTAAATCTATTTTTGAAAAAACGTACATCCCTGCCAGTGCATGTAATGCAAGTTCAACATTGGGTATGGGATATGAATCCGAGCATATCTTGTGATTTACTCCTATTTTGTAATCTCCACAAATATGTAAATCACCATCTGTTTTCCTCAAAACTACAATTTTCCACTTGGTGGAACATGTTCAAGAAGGTCTTGTTCTACTAATTTACGTAGTTTTGTCACTACTAATGGCAATAAATGTACTGGTAATTTTCGTGCCTCATAATAAGAGGGGGAAACATTTTCTTTTACTTTTAAACTTGCTTCATAGTTTTTTAACTTTCCAGTTTTTTCCATTTTTATTTCATTAATTAACTTAGTAGAATTTATATTAAGCACGTCATTTCCAATAAGCCCGTGTTTTTTTTGCAACTTGTAACAACTATAGGTATTACTTCAAATTTTTCTTTTAACTCTAATGAACCTTCAAAGTATCCTAATATTTTGATAACTGACCCATCAAATTGGCGGAGTTGTAAACTGCTTTTTCATAAAGGTGGCTTACCAATGTGTTCCCAAAAATATTTTGGTATCAGTGTTACTTCACTCCCAGTATCCATTTGCATATCTAAATTACAGTTAGTAATTTTGACCTTTACTGTAATGTCATTTTTCTTATGTTCAATTCTTTTTAAAGTCTTATTTTTTAATGTAAAAACTTCCCTATCGGTGTTGTTTTCTTCAATTCTTTCAACATTTTTCTTTTTTAATTTACACTGCTTTCTGCTTGAAAGTGGTTCTTTTTTAAGCAATTATTACAAGTTTTTCCAAATGCTGGACACTTTTCCTTTTTCATTTTGTGTTCACGTCCACAATACAAACACTTTTTATCTTATTTAACATGTATGTATCAGCGAATATTTGTTCGCTGGGTTGACTTTTATAATGGTTGTATGTCTGTATTAGTTCTTGTTGCTGCATAAAGTCAATACATGTATTTAAAGACATATTTCCTATTTGTAATTGTTCCATTATTTTATATTGGTGTGACGCATTGGACATACCTTCAATTAGTCTTAATTGAATCAAGTCCTCTTCAATGGTCTGTTTGTTTTGTCCAAGTTTTTCAAATTCACAATATCTACTTGCATTTCATAGACAGTGTAAATATTTTATAATTGGTTTGTCACTTTCTTGTTTCATCGATATGAATTTCATTCTTTCTGCCACTACCAGCCTTTTCTTGGGTCTCATATTTCTTCTTATAATCTGACTTATTTTTTCGAAAGTCAGGTCTTCTAAATTTAAGGGATATGCCATGGTGGAGACTTTCATTACCGCCTCGCATCCAGCTGTAGCCAAAAATAAATCCGTGATTTCATTTTTGCCTCCCTTTTCCTTGTTGTCTTTCAACTTTTTTGTTCTCGCAGTGGCAGAGAAACAATGAATCCATGTATCCACGAAATCTGGATCTTCCAGAGACAATTGATATCCTATCGGCGACGCCATTGTTGTGAAGTTGAAGTTAGCACTAATCAGCCGCTAAGCTCGTACTTCTACCTCGTTATTCCCAGTGACCACTTATATGAGTGTTCACTTATGCTTATGCAAATTATGCATACTACTTTGCTAGTATCACTACAATAACAAAATACAATGTAAAGGATATATAAGGAAACTGCCACTAACAATCAGAAAGAGGCAGCTGAAATTTCTGGGAAACATATTGAGAAAAGAAGGTCTGAAGAATTTAACACCCACAAGGCAAGTTTGGGAGAATGGATGGCAGAACAAGTACAAATAGGGATGGTAAAGAATCAAAGTTTACTTAAAACCTTCCAAACACTTTGTTTATTTTGCTAGTGTGAAAAGTTAACATCTTGATATTATCATTATTTTCCCTTCTAGTTTCATATGCTACCCAATATTGTTGTTGTTGCTGTTGAAAGTTTTCAGAAAATAACATTTCTATCAGTGATGATAAAAAATAAGGATATCTCACCATTTAAAAATAACCTTCTCATCAGTGATGATAGAAAAAAGTATATTTCATCATCCTAACCCTCATCATTATAAAAACGACACTTCCACAAGAGAATCAGTAGAGTAGAGTAGAGAAGAGTAGATAGACTAGGGTACCTATAGCAGTAATCAGTAGACAAGTAGTAGTAGTCAGTAGAAACACATATCTTTGCCAGTTCTCTATGAAGATAAAAAACAAATGATGTCAAATGCCATCCTCACAAACAAAATTCTTGGAACCAAACCAAGTAAGCACTGACTTTTAAACAAAAGAGACACTGAGAACATTTTTACACACACCATACCAATATTCCGTAATTCACGTCACTAAAAGAAAATACAAATTCTTGCTATTTATGTCAACACATGTCTCAAGTTTTTATTGTTTATAATATTGTTGTACATTTTAATTCATTTCGTTTCCAATATAAAAAAAGAGAAAAGGATTCTTTCTACATTAAAAATTCATATAGCAATGGGGTAATTACTTTAACAATACTTAAATAATATCGTCAGGTTTACTACTACATCAACCCTAACTTACCTACTCTGTTACAGCTCTTTGTGATTTTTTAGTGTCAGATTATAGGATTTGATGAAGGGTTGTGTTCTTTAAGATTTACAGGATTAATGCGCTTGAAGCAATTATTAATCATTGATCTGAGAAAACAAATTATATACAGATGATAGTTTAGACATTTCTGGATGAATTGAATGCCATGCATGACATTCGTATGCATGACTATATCTGATGAGGCTATTTAAAAACATGACTTGAATTTTCAGATCAAAATTTTCCTTAAGCTGCTGGCCCCTCAGTGCAACCTGTCTGGTGTTAAATTTCCTTATTGCCTAAATTTGTTATAACAGATCCAACCACTGAAGTATTTAAAATGTTTAGAATTTATCAATTAAACATTTTATGATGAATATAGAGAGCTATCAATGGATTTAGAAGTCAGATAAATATCAATTATTAAACATGAGATCATGTTTATGGTTGATATAATTACATATTACCCATAAGTGTCACTGGTTAATGTTCAAGCCTTGATAATAGGTCATTTTTTTAATACTGATTTTCAAGGTAGACAACCCCTGCTCACTCAGAAGATTAATCCAGTGCCATGTTTCTCCCTACCACCACCAAGCAGATCCTAAACTTTCACCTAACATGATGGATGGGTCTTCTCTCAAGGAGGCTCCTTGTCTTTTTTTTTAATTTTTATTAATGTTCACCCAATACAAAGCCCAAGAGCTACTCAAGGTAGAAGGCTACTGTGTGTAGTTGATTAGCATAGGACAGAACAAGCATATATAGAGTGGAAGTAGACTTTAGAAGGAACCAGAAACCCAATCCTAAGTAGGAAACAAAGTATTAAACTCTACTCCTGTTCAAAAGACAGGAGAGAAGTGTGAACAGGACAATAGGTAAACCTATCTACTCCTATTTGTGGGGGAGAGAAAAATAAATAAAGATAGAATAAAATAAATGATTAGTGAATAAAATTTCAGAGTTCAGGTACAGTGATTAGCTCTGGATATATATGTTTCAGTAGAGTTAGTTTTGGAACTAACACTATATTATCTATTAACTTTTAACTTAGTATAAGTTCAAATATCCTCTATCAAATAAAATACAGCAGGGAATTAACATTATTTGAACTTATTTTTTTTTGCGTGTTTATTGGGACTCAAACTCTCAAGACTTCAAGAATGGCTGGAATAGGAATATTCTGAGATTTTTTCCCAGAAAAAAAGAATAAATATAAATATGCCCCAATCTTACAGAATTTGTGGCATAATATCTGAGATTCTGAGATTCATATCTGAGAATCTTTTTCTTTTGTTAAAAACCAACCTGTAGGTGGGTTGTCCTTCGAATTCCTTCTGGTCGTTCATATGTGTTGCCTGGCCACACAATGTTGATGTTATCAGCAATAGCCAATGGGTTTTCTCCTGGCTGTGATTTCTGGAAGCAAAAAATTAAAGAAAATAAGTGGAATTTAAAATTAACAAAGAAATAATAATCATAGTTGATATCAGTAAGTTATTTATTGGGTCAGAATAAATGTCAGTAGCATTTTTCTAATTGAATTTTAAAGACAGTAAATATTTGTACATAGATATATTCAATCACATAAGTACCATTTTGTTTCATTATATTTCACCATCTATGAAGTAACTTCATGATTCTATCCTCCCAGAACCTGGGTGATGAACTGGTCTAAGTGGCATTTACCGGCTTCCAGAGAATTGAAGTTCTTCCCATTAAGAGAATATTGTAGGGATCAAAATAAGTGATAATCCAAAATTGCAAAGACAGGCCCAGTCAAATGGTACAAGTTTCTGCCAAGTCTGCAAAGAGACATGAGTCTGGCATTGTCCTGATGGAAGATGACACCCTCTTGGATTGGACAATTTCAGATGCTTTTCATTGATTGCTGCTTTTAATTGGTCCAATTAGGAATAGTAATTCAAAATCTGATTTTTGCAGATAGATCATGTAATACACAATGCACTTTCAATGCTACCAGACACACAGCATTATTTAATCAGTGTAAATTAATGTCTACTGGCCTGTGCATTTGAGAGTTATACCCAATGTTCTTCCAATCCAGTCAGACACACAGTCATTACCTTATTTGGATACAGAATTGCTTTTGGAGGAGTTAATATTTGCTCATTTCATTTTCACCAGGAACATTTTCCTCTACATTTATATACACAATCCACCTGTCATCATCTGTGATTATTCTTTCCAAAAATGGATTGATTTTATTGTATTTGATTATTCTAATGGATAGAAATAGGGTTCTTTTCATTTTTTTTCTGTTAAATCACAAGGTACTCTAACTTCATAATGATTCACTTATCCAAGTGTTTTCAAATACCATACTAGGCTCATATGAGATATATGGAGTATCTCTGTGATGTCCCATGTCTTTTTGTGACATATGATTATTTCTAACTAGCAGTAGAGCCCAGCGTTGCCCGGGGATGTAACAGTAAGAGATAGATCAAGTATCGACCATCATAAAGACTGAAAAATAAAATTTACAAAAATTATTGTTTAAGGTTGATGGACACGCATGTCTTAATTAGTTTTTTTTTTTTTTTACGAATTGGTCAAACCCAAACAAAACCATTGTTTTCAATCGTTATGGATCTACCGATTGAATAGAATTTTATTATAAACAATTGTCTTGTAAATGGAATTTTTAAAGCATTCTGTATTTAAAAATAAAGAAAAATGTGCAAGACAATAAGAAACACTACCTGCCAAAAAAAAATGAAGTTTTGTTGAAATTGGTTGAAAAATGTAGGAGATCCGATCCCATATATAAACGAACAGACACACACAATCTGCGTTTTATAATAAGTAAGATTAGTACTTCCATTTGTTCATTATCAATGACTGGCTGACCTTCTGGAACATTCTCAGTCTTAACATGATGAGTTCCAAGTCCAGTTGGATTCATTATATTTACTCATGTGCATATACTTTTGGGAAAGGTATGAATACACCTCTTCTCACCCCTCCAACTATGGATTAATTAAAGCTTTTATCACTAAATCATTATGTCCAAAAAAAAAAAAAGTCCTTACAATCTAAAATAATTTCTGGCTTTAAATAACTTGCCGTAGAAAACGAATCAATAAAACTAAAAAACTGACTGAATTTACCATATTGCCCAAAAACTAAAAAAATAAATTCTACTTCTTTAATTTTTATCTTTTTAAATAATTTATGTAAAAAAATTACAACAGAATTTAACTCTGAAGGATTCCTAAAATTATACAAATTTCAATTTAACTTTTGATAAACATGGATAAATATGCCTGCATAGTATCAAAAAGACAGTTTTTACAATGACACCGCATTTTAAACTAACTTCACTCTTTGGTAATGTTTGTTGTTTTAAAAAACAATGATTAGAATTGGAATTAAACCTGAACATATGATAAAAATTAATTTATACATTTTTTTTTTGCTGTTGATAATTTACAACAAAAATATTAAACACTATTTATTCATTAGATTATTTATTTACAACTTTAATTTTATATTTACAACATTCTAAAAAAACCTAATACAATTAGAATTAATGCAATATTTATCATATAAAGAAATAAGTGTGAAAACAATTTTTTCTTCATAAATTTATAAACAACTACTAAATTATTAAAATATGTGAATGAACTATAAGTAAATCCTTATTATCTACAATTTTATGAAGTTTGAATTGATTGGCAATTAGCTGATGCTTTGCCAACCAATCCAATAATAAATAGTGTAGATAAATATTCTAATAAATAATATTGTTTAATATTTTTGTTGTCAATTCTCAAGAACAAAGAAAATGTATAAATTTCCTTTTATATGTTTAGGTTTTATTTGAAAATCTAATTATTGCTTTTTAAAATAATAAATATCACTGAAGAGTGAAAGTATTTAAAATAAAAGTATCATGGGAAAAAACGTCCTTTTTAACACCGTTTTATTGCAGGTATATTTATCCATGTTTGCCTAAATTTTTCTATTTCAATAAAATTTTATTTTAACCCCTTAGTATCAACTGTTCTACTATTTTAACATATTTTAAGACTTATTTTTATACCAGATATACTCAGAAAAGACAGTAGATTTTTACACATCATATTAAAATACAATTAATACTTGTCTGCTTTCCAAAAATTTGTAGAACAATGGACGCTAACATGTTAATATTTGTTGTCAAAAATTGATATTGTTTGTAACAACATTTCTTTTTGAGAGACAAAATCTGTCTTTTCTATAAATAGATTCATAAAAAGCAAAAATCAGAAGAGTCTGAAAATTTAAAAAATAAACTTGACTTAATTTTGTAACAAGAGAATCTCATCTTTCTGTAAATTTTCAAAGATGCATATTTTTTCTGGAAGCAATGAAAACCTACTCTTTTGTATTGAGTTATAAATAAACTGAATTAGATATCTGAAGGGGAAAAAAAAGATTCACTGACCTTTCTACTTCCATAGATACCAACTGCCACTGTACGTGTTGGCTGGACATTCATTATGTTGTAGACAGGGTTCAATCTGTCTCCTTCCATATTGAAACTCACTTGACCAGTTACACCATTTTCCAAATGTCCAGCTTTCAAATATCTGAAAAAAAAAAAAAGATTTTATAAAATTTGAAATGTTCTTAATTTGTTTTCCTTTTGTATGTTTAAATATTGGAATAAACCATATTTGGTGATTATAATACCTTCTCCAACATTTACTTTTAACATTACAGTATTATAGAGTTTGGAGAGTCAAACGTAGTGATAGTCTATAGCATGTCAGTATACATTAGCATACCAAATATCTCAAATTGATTTATCAGGCCCAAGAGATATTTTTGAAACATTTTTTGAGAAAAAAGATGGGGGCATATGGATCATAATATAGAGTCATAAAATTATTAACCAAGACTGTATGGTGGCTGTGATCATTGTATATTTGCATATATACACACACATACATACATATACACACACACATATATATATATATATATATAGACACACACACACACACACATATACATATATATATACACACACACACACACACACACACACACACACACACACACACACATATATAATAAAAAATAATAGCTGGCCACTCATATTCGAGGATACCCGTCTATTAGGGTGGCTAGCCAATCCCTATGCTTGCTCAGGCATATTTGTGTTTGCTCAACACCTACAGAGCTCACCTGTGGTTTATACTGCAACTATGCTGAGCAGATCTAAGTTATAGTTTTTGGGAGAGAGCATGTTATCTAGCATGATCAACAATCTGAACAAGGCTAGCACACTCAAACTTTCAATCACGATGACTTGTGACTTTGTGACTAGCATAGCTATTGATGACCCCCAAGGGTTCCATCTACCCAATTTCACTCACAAGGCTTTTTTTTTCTGGGCTTTACTTAACTTGGGATTCATTTGCACCCAGATCCAGGAAAATTAATCTTATCAGTACCCTTACTCGTGCTTTGATGTTGTATTCTGAGTGAAGACTTGAACTTAAACAGCTGTTATTAATGAATGGTTATTCCGAATGTGTTGTGACATCTACCATGAGCAAAAGATTGTTAAGTTCAATGAGGTTAAGAAATATGGTCCTTCTAAGTGTCCTGTTTATATGAGACTCCTGTTACAAATTCATGACGGTCGTCTTCGAGGATAGAATCCAGAGGTTGGCAGTGAATATTTCAGAGACAGTAGGAAAGCGTAGTTCAGGTTTCGCAGTGGATATCGCAGCAAAGTAGCAGAGCGAAGTTCTTCCGTCTGTCATGTTTGCCTGACAAGTTGGCTCTGGTCATTCCGGTAGGGTAAACAAAGATGGCCGCCTTTATACACGACGGATACAATGTTCTGCGGCTTCTGATTGGTCAACCTTCTATTGGTAGACTATAAAGGGAATTAAGTCATTTTGACTAACTCACTAGTTACATAGTATATATACACAAAAAACTGTAACACCCCCCCTTATTTTGGGTATATTATGGAATCTTCCTTCAAAATATTAGTAAAGTCAATAAATACTTTAATTCCAAAAAATTGTATTTTTTTTTTATTTTTTCTTTTTAAAGTTAATATTAATATGTAACAAATACTTTAGTATTCCAAATTTTATTTTTATATTTATTTTTTATTTTTATTGAAAATTAATATCCACAAAAATTAGTCATATCACTTTGTTCACATTTAAGTACTTCGGGTTAATAAAACATGAATAACAATATTATAAGTTTGGATTGTGGTCACAACAAAAAAGTGGAAAGAATTGTTACTTTACCCATAGCTGGGACCCACTGAAACAGTTACTATCACTCCGGATCAGAGTGATCCAGAGAGTCACTAAAAAGTGAAAAATTGTTATTTTCCCCATAGCTGGGACCCATTAAAACTGTTACTATCACTCCGGGTCATTAGAAGAGGATTGGGCTAAAAGTAGGACTATTTACATTTATACCCCGAAACTAAGGACCTACATTCATACCAAAAACTGAACTGATGTTTCTTAGGACAGTAACTAATGGATGCAGTTTTACATCCTACCCAGGACTAATAAGGACCTAAGAGGAACTTAATGGATGCAGTTTTACGTCTTGTCCAGGACCAATAAAGATCCAAGAAGTCAGCACCAAATATTGCAGAAGTAAAAAGCCCGTAGTTTCAATTTCGTAATTGGTTTTGCAAATGAATCCACTATATTATTTCCCGATTGAACGTCTTCAATTTGTACTGTTTTCTTTTGTACTTGGTCCCTAACAAACTGATATTTTATATTGATATGTTTTGATCTTTGATGTATTATTGGATTTCTGGCCAAAGCAATACTGCCCTGATTGTCGCTGTAAATAATTATTGGCTCAGTTATTGCCAGTGTTGTAATTGCTTTTATTAGTAATTTAAGAAAAATAGCCTCTTGTGTTCCTTTTGGCAATGCAATATATCCAGCTTCACAAGTAAAAAGTGAAATCATTCGCTGTTTCTCTGATTTCCAGCTGATTATTGGGTTACCATCTGCTAGCTTAAAGCAATAGTCTGTTATACTCTTATGATCTGGTGAGTTGGCCCAATCAGCATCACAAAATCCTTCCAATTTTAATGGCTTATCTGATTGTCAAAATACTAGGCACTGACTCTTAGTCCACTTCAGATAACATAATACTTGCTTTACAGTTGTTAAATGTACGGTCCTCAGTTTATTTAAGTTTTGGAACAACTTAGTAACTGTATAGCAGATATCCTGGTTGATGTCATCATATAAATAAGACTTCCAACCAATGTTTTGTATTCTTTCTCACACGCCGCTATACCATCAGCATTATTCATAATTATGTTTAAATCCATTTCACATGGAGTCGTTCTTATTTTATAATTTTGCATGCTGAATTTAGATGAGAGCCTTTCCATGTATCTCGATTGATTCATTGAAATAGTGTTGCCTTTAAATTCTAACTGTATACCAAGAAACCATGATAGTCGACCCAAATTGGTCATTTTAAACCTTATTTCTAGAGAATTTTTGATTTTTAATAGAGTGGCCTCACATTTTGATGCAATTAACATATTTTCGACCCAAATAACCAGAATTATTAATATTTCATTATTAAATGTTCTCATGTATAGACATGGGTCAACTTGGGGAGATTGAAATTATTGTCTAATTAAATAACAATGGATTAAATTATTACATGTTCTTCCACTCTGTTTGAGTCCAAATAGTGACTTTTTTAAGTTTCCATACATAATTATCACCATTCTTCAAAACCTTCTGACGGTTCTATGTATATTTCGTAATCTATGGCAACATTCAAATAAGCTGTTTTCACATCCATATGGTGTATATCCTTACCATAATGGGCATCCATTTGCATCAAAACTCTAATTAAGACTTAATGTTTCTACATAAGTCATCTCCCCCTCTCTTATAATCTTCCCCATATATCTATGAAAATCTATTAGCTACAAAACGAGCATTGCACACTGGCAATCCAGTCTCAGTTCATTTTACAGTATGGCTGCCGATGATATTTCTATCATCCGGGGCCTTTTAATTCAAAAAGTGTCCTTTAATACTAAAGATTTAATTTCTTCTTTTTTTTTCTTTTATTTTTTTTTGCATGGCCGCTATGGTATTGACAGAATTGGTAATTCTTTGGGATACATTGTACCGAATAACAACAATCAATGTCGCAGGTATTACATTGATCCATTCCAAAATAATCCGGCTTTCTTCTGTTTTTTGTCGGATAACACGGAATTTGCACCTGATTTTTTCTCGTCTACATCATCTGGTATAATACCTTCCTCTAATTGTGGATTTTGAATGGGTTTTCTACTCATAGGCCCATAATTGGGCCATACTAGTTTGGGTTGGACTAGTTCGTCGCAGTTAATATTCTTTTCTTTGGGTTCCTCCCCTCGCTCAAAGGAATCTGTAAATCTGACGCATCTAATCTTCCTTATCATTTTAGTTTGTGGAAAATAAATCGTATAGGCTGGACTTGGCTTATCATACCCAATAAATATGCCCCTTTCACTTTTTGGATCTAGTTTCGCCCTGTGGTCAACATATGTATAGCAAATTGTACCAAAAATATGCATATCACTTACATTGGGCTTGGAGTTTGTATAAGCTCCGTAAGGATTTTTTTTTTTTTTTTAATGTTACTATTATAGCAGCGGTTTCTTATATATATACCACTGTATTTAATGCATAAGCCCACAGATTTAGTTAGATTCTATTAACAAACATCTAGCCATTTCAAACAGTGTCCTCCTACTCCGTTCAGCAACTCTGTTCTTATGTGGAGAATAAGAACAGGTTTTCTCATGTTTAATGCCTTCATTTATTAGGAGGTTTTTGTAAGCATCAGAAGTAAATTCTCCACCATTATCTGTCCGAATTATTTTTAATTTTCCATGCGGGGAGATGTCGGATAAATAGATTTTTTTAGCTTGCATCATTACAGTGGCCTAATATTTTATGCCAAGTTCTTAAGTCGTGCGTGGCTGTCTTCGCAGACTTAATACTTTCAAATAATACAAACGTCCATATTGCTGTATATTAAAATCAGTTCCGTCTGGATATTTTAAATTTAGGAATATATAAAGCCTTTTTTTATTTTAATAAAGATTTACAAATATTTCTTTTAGTATTTCACAGATAAATACAGGCGTCACCTCTTTTTAAAACTAAATTATTAGCTCTGGTGCCATCAGCTAACTCGATAAAATGTGAGTCGAGCTCAAAATTGGGGTCAAAATTAATAAATTTTGTTTCATCTGTAATTACATGATTTGTCGCACCCATATTGACCAGGTACAAATTCATGATGGTCGTCTTCGAGTATAGAATCCAGAGGTTGGTAGTGAATATTTCGGAGACAGTAGGAAAGCGTAGTTCAGGTTCGCAGTGGATATCGCAGCAAAGTAGCAGAGCGTAGTTCTTCCGTCTGTCATGTTCGCCTGACAAGTTGGCTCTGGTCATTCCGGTAGGGTAAACAAAGACGACCGCCTTTATACACGACGGATACAATGTTCTGCAGCTTCTGATTGGTCAACCTTCTATTGGTAGACTATAAAGGGAATTAAGTCATTTTGACTAACTCACTAGTTACATAGTATATATACACAAAAAGCTGTATCAACTCCTTTGGATTGGTCCCGGGAGTCAAACATATGCTGACAAAATTTCCAATTCTATTAAAGAGTGTTTCAATGTTATTATGGTCTGGATGATTTTTACAACTAGAAGGACTTACCCTTCTTGCCGTAAGGATGTCTTGCCAACCAATCAACAAAGTTTGGTAATATATCAATATAAATGTTGATGTGAGATTGACTATGTGGGCAAGACCATCCAGAGGTTTGAGGTTAGCATTGCCCAGCATATCCTTGGCCAGGTGCTTGTGACATCCGGGCATTCACAGACTCGTGATTCTGCAATCGATGAGCACCTTTTAAATTCTGTTGCCTACAGGACGATTTATTCTCCTGATTTCTTTTCTGTCTAGCACAGGACATGGACAAGACTCCATTTAGATATCCTGGAGTCTATTATTATTAACTTGCAACGTCCTCTGCCCTGTGTAGACAACAGGAATTGAAATATAAGTTGGCCCTATTCGGGGAAACAATTGTCTGACTGGGAAGAAAATCATTCAATTTTTTTTCTCCCCCCAGTTGCCTACTCCAGCTTGGTAATTTATGTCTTAATATCAGTTGTTGGTAAAAATTTTACTTATCAACTACTTTGTTTTATAATGCCAATAATTTTGTTTCTTAAGAAGTGTTGGCTGAACAGTGCCTAAAATATTAAATCTTAAACGTGATACTTTTGTATTTATTTTAACAATAAAATTATGATCTTTGTCCTTAAAACTATTTTGTTCTGGTGTGGCAATAAAAACCTGTTTCTATATATAAATATATATATATATATATATATATATATATATATATATATATATACATACACACATGCTTATGGCTATATCATGTTGAAATACTGGTTATCATCTGATTACCTATTTTAAGTAATGTTGAGCCTTTTCAGTAGCTAGATGGATGACTACTTTGGAATATCATGTGCTGTAAGCTTAGTCATGGAATGATAAAGGTATGTAATTAATCCCTTCTTCCCACAGCTATGGGTAAATAACAGGACAGACTGGACCCTATAGCTCTGTTTGTCAACCAGTCTAAGAGAAGGAAAACTGAATTCCAATCAGCCTAGAGAACAATTTGTCACAATACTAACAAGGAATTTAATAAATAATATAAAATGGCTGCTGAGGAATCAAATTAATTCTATTTATTTTTTTCACTTATGAAAGATATAAAAACAGAATTAAATAAAGAAGCCATTTTGTTACATGAGTAGATATTATCAATAGAGTCAGTCATAAAGTTTATCATGTTAAAACTCTGGTTCTCAAATGATCAGTGAAGTTAAGCAACATTGAGTCTGTTTAATACCTACATGGGTGACCACTTGGGAATACATATTGCTGAAAGCATAGATGTATGGGTGATGGGGCACCTTGAGGTGGTATAATGGTTAGCAAGCTTGTCTTGCTAGAACATTTACGACTGAATAGTGAGTTTGATCCTCACTGGGTTCCCCATATTTTTGGCCTTGTGCCACATCTAAGCTACGCTTGGAAAATCACTAGATGTATAGGTGATGTAATGGATAACAACTTGGAATTGGAAATGGGTGTGCCGACTCCAGTCAAGTTCATTATATTTGCTTATGCATCAATACCCTTGGGGAAGGTATGAATCAACCTCTTCTCCCCATCCAGTTATGGGTTAATTAATAGCACTTGTATCAGTAAATCACTATTATCTCTAAAAATTACAGTCTAAAAATATTTTCTGGTGTAAAATTTACTTAATAAACTGAACAAACTTTTTGGCCAACCAAACATATCATAACTTCCATAAGAAAAGTATAAAATATTTAAAAATAAAAAAATAGTTCTCCCTGACAAACTCAAAGAATCAAAATATATTGTTCTATCTACCAACCATCCTGGGTAAGATGATAAACTACATCCAACAGCAAGGCCTCTGATTGGGAGGTTTTGAGGAGTGTGGAACTACCTCTTAATTACTGGTGTTCCCAGGTCCACCCTGACTTGGGGTGGTAGCACCTGTTAGGCTCCCAGATATGAACAAATAGTGAACCCCCAAACTGGAGTCAAAATATTATGAAAGTGTAAAAATAGGTTTTAATACCAGCAATACATTTTTGCAAAAGGTTATTACCAGCAATAAATGTTTGAAGAAATAATACATTTCTAAAAAAAAAAAATTACCAACAATAAAAATCTTGACATTAAATAACCCATAGGTTGATATTCCATAAACCCAACCAAACCAAATCTATCCACCAACTCCATCACAACTACAATTGAAAATAATTTATTTAAACTCAGCATAAAATTTGTCACACCTACATCTAAAACAGTTAATTAAAAATCCTAATTAATACAAAATAAAATAACAATAAGCTAAAATTTGAAGGAGGAATTTACTCTATTACTTGCAATAATTGCCACAAGGAATACACAGGAGAAACTTCAAGGAATTTTTCATTAGTAACAAAGAAAAGAGTACTGAACTGCTACATGATATCTGTCCTCCTTTACAGCAGTGAATGTTGAGCAGTCTCCTCAAAGATGAAGAAGAAAGTTAACTGTGATTCTACAGAAGGATGCTAAAAATACCATGGACCAAACATGTTAACAATGATGAGGTTTTGGAGAGGATCCAAACAAAATAGTAACTCTCACTTAACATCAGGAAGAGGCAGCTGAAATTTCTGGGACACTTAATGAGAAAGGAGGGCTTGGAAAATCTGATACTCACAGGGTGGATAGAGGGAAAGAGGGACAAAGGAAAGTAACCCATGACATACATAAAAGGCTTAAGCAAGTGGATGGCAAAACAGGGCCTGGGAGAAATAACAAAAAGTTAAAGCTTATTGAGAGCTACAAGAGACAGGAGGAAATGGAGAGCCATGATCGCTTAGGTCATGAAGGGACACAGCACATAAAAAAGAAGATGGATAATTTACATTATTCAAACTGTTATCCTCATCTTCATAGCCATATTCACAATGTTTTGGCTCTTGTACACTCCAGCCTTCTTCAGGTGATTAGAATTTCAAACTGAACCCTTTATTTCATCCACCAGAGTAGATGGTTCTAGTTCTAAAGCTGGAGCATACAATGGCTGAAACATTGTGAATATGGCAATGAAGATGAGGATAACAGTCCAAGTAATGCAAGTAATGTAAATAATCATAATACCTCATCTCAGAGATATAGAGGTTGAAACGTTGTGAATATGGCAATAAAGATGAGGATAACAGTATGAATAATGCAAATAATGTAAATAATCATAATACCTCATCTCAGACATATAGACGTCGAAATGTTGTGAATATGGCAATGAAGATGAGTATAACAGTGTGAATAATGCAAATAATGTAAATAATCATAATACCTCATCTCAGAGATATATGGATATATGGATCTTTTACAAAACAACACATTAAGCACATTAGTTGCTTACCATAAAGAGACTGACCATAATTTTGATTTAAAAACATGCTACTCTAATTAAAAGACCAAGACCTTTACCAAGACAAAAAATTTTAGAAAATACTTTAATTGCTAAATCATCCACAGTAAATTGGAATCCATGCTCTTCCATTTCACTATTCTTCTATTCTTTCTATCTTCTTTCATCACAATGTGAGATACATAATAAGAAAAGGGATGGAAACATAAACAAAAAGAATCTAAATAAAATCAACTAAATTATATATCCAAAATATATTAAGTTAAAATGAAAACAATTTTAATTTTATAGGGTAGCATTGTGATTTCCCACCTGATGAAATATTAAAAAAATTTTTAACATTGAAACAAGATGTACAGTTTTGTAGTGGGTATGTACATGTTCTAATATAACACAGTGCATAATAAATAAATATTTATTGCTCTACTTTTGTATTGAGCCCTGTTTTAAATTAATGTTTTGAACGCTGAAATCTTACTCCTTGTTTTTTTTACATTTGGAGATATAAGAGGATTTCATTTTAAGTTTTATATTCAGGAAATAAAATGCAGCACAATATAAAGAGACAATACAATTGCGCAACATTAATTAATTATTGCCATCAATTTTGATGGCAGGGGTAAACAAGTCACTTTATATTTTCCTGATAACTACTTTGAATTTTATAGAATTTGCTGAAGAAGAGTGAATTTGCTGTAATTATCTGCCTTTACAGTCAGACTAGGAAGCTCATTTTGTTATACATTCTATCATTTTTCATGTGGCAGTTATACTTGGTAACATTCTTGAAATTTTAAACCAAAAACACTTTATTCAATCCATGTGAGAAGATGATTCTGATTTTGCTTTTCACACTCAAGAAATTCTGAGTTTACCATTACCATGTGCAACAGATACCTTGAAGGGCTCAACAGTGAAAATGTTATGAGTTTAACAACCAAGTTAAGGATCTTTTTCTTTTATATGCTCTGTCCTTTCATGACATGAATAATCATGGCCCTCCAGAACTTCCTATTCTTCCTCTAAGGGATGTTTGCCTCCTTACTATCCCTCTCAGTCTATGTTCTACCAACCATTTATAGAAAATGATTAGGCAAGTTTCTTGCTGCTTCCCTATTTCTCTTCAGTATGCCCTGTGAGTGTCAAATTCTCCAAGCCATGTTTCCACATTATGTATCCTATATGTTTCAACTATCTTTTTCTGATTCTAAGTGTCCTTTCTGTTTTAATTTCCTTAAAACTTGCTCATTGTTCATATGCACTGTCCATGGTATTCTCAGCATCCTTCTATAGAACAACATCTATGTTGCCACAAATTGTCTCTTCATCTGTGAGAAAATTGTCCAGCATTCACAACCATATAAGAAAATTGATGATGGATAGCATTTCAACACTAATGATAATTCTTTATCTTAAAAATTCTGCTATGAATTGTATTTGTCAATATGAAGACGACTTACTTGAGGATTGTTTTGCCTTCGTACCAAGGGATGTTAATATCAGTGCACTCATTGAGTGGTTCGGAGATGTTCATCTCTTTGTGTAAACGTATGAAAGTTTGGGCAATCAGAGCAATGCTGTCTTGAATATGGGCGGCTTCATTTGTACCGTTTATCAGCTGAGTGCCGATGACGCCTGAAATAAACAAACCAAAAAGAAAACAACATTAAAGATTACAATCTCAAAATACAAGGTGATTAATCCTTCCTACCTATTTATTCTATTAGTAATAATAGTTATATATATATATATATATATAATTGTGTATTTGGGCAGCAATCCCTCTTTTATACAAGTTTTGTTAAAAATGACAAGGTATTGTGTTTAAGTTTTTTATTCAATTTTTCCTGTCTTATAATTTTTTTCTTTTCTGGACATAAATTATGTAGAAATTGTCCAAATATTCTGTATGTCCAAGCACTTTTGGCTATTTTTTAGCTATTATCAAGGACATACAATTTTTACATAATTTGTCCATATTATAAGTCCAGAAAAATGAAAATAAATTATAAAAATACAAATAAATTATAAATAAATTATAATAAATTATAATATTATAAGAATACAGGAGAAATGAAATAATAAATTTAACTGCAGTACCTTGTCAGCTTTTTAGTTGCATTACAAACCAGTATTTTTGAAAATTAAATTTAAGATGTAAATATTTCAGTTAAACTTTAAATTGATCTCCCCTAGATCTCAAGTTAAGAACTATTTCATAGTGAAATTTTTACGAATATTTCATTATCTTACTAATTTATATTAATGATTTTTATATTTTTAGGATTAGCTCCTTAGTAATTTACTAAGTATAGCATACATTGAGATCAAGCTCACAACTCAATTGTAATTGATTGCTATTACATCTCAATGAGATGCCTTTCTTGGCCCTATAAAATAAATAAAATGGGAGCCAATCCCTTTTTTAGAAACCTGCTCAAGCACATTTGTGTTTGTTCAACACCCACAGAGCCCACCTGTGGTTTATAATACAACTATGCTAAGCAGATCTAAGTTACAGTTTCTGGGAGAGACTGCATTATCTAGCATGATCAACAGTTTGATCAAGGCCAGCACACTCAAACCCTCAGACACAATGACTTGTAACTTCATGCTAGCACAACCATCAAAGGCTTCCAAAGAGTTCTGTCTACCTAATTTCACTCACAAGGCTTGGTCCAAGTATTACAATATTACATATTATTGGTGGTGGCTCTCAGGAGTTCTGGCATTACCATGTCCATCCTCTCTTTTTGTGATGCTGTTTGTGTCCACCTTCAAGTCTGCCTTGCATGATTTTCTTGCAGTGGCTTTTATGCTGTGTGACATGACCAAATCATGATATCTTCCAAGGTTTAATAGTGGTGAGGAAAGATTCCTGTCAGACCATAAGACTTTTGACCTTGCTCCATACATAGTCATTAATATTGGACTCTATGTGGTGGAGTTTTCTCAAACATTTGTTCTTGAATACCTGGATCCTTTATCCTGCCTCAACCAGGTGTACCCAAGTCTCACATACATAGAGGGGGAGATTGGATATGACCAGTGATTTGTAGAGCTTGTTCAAGTTCAAGTGTCAAATTCTACACTAAATATAAATATGTTTATAAATGTTATTTTTAACTCTACAAAAATGTAATCTCATAGAAATTTAAATATATTGATGATTTCTTCCCATAAGTTTGACTTTCCTTTCTTTCTTTCTCCTTTTTCTTTTTCTTGCTATTTCTTTCTTTTTCCTTTCTTTCACTTTCTATTTCCTTTTTCTTTTTATTTCTTTCTCTTTCCTTCCTTTTCCTTTTTCCTTTCTTTCTTTCTTTTTCCTTCCTTGTTTCTTTTTCCTTTTTTTTTCTTTTTTCTTCTTTCTTTTTCATATCCATAGACAAGTTGTCTGCTTCAACCATTGTTAAATAAAACTATAATTATTCAATAGTGAATAGAATGTGATTTCTTTTGTTTAATATTCAAGAAGTATTGAATATAAACAAGAAAATGAAGAGAAATGTAAAGTTTTTGATATTATATAAGTGGTATGCAATTGATAAATTAAATATTGCCATTATTTTTTTTATGGTACATTTAAACAGTTTATGAGAACATTAGCTGTTAAAAGGAATGGATTATGTATATATGGATAAATTAGACAATTATCCTCATATATAAAACATAATGCACATCAATATATATAGATAAATAAATTTAGCTTACTTAGAAATCCAGCAAAACTTCATCAGACCCTGAGTACGATTTCATATAAATTAATTATTTATTCTATTTGTAATAATAGCTATATATATATATATATATATATATATATATATATATATATATATATATAAATAAATTAACTGCAGTACCTTATTTTTAAAATTACTGGGTTTTAAAGCCACAGCAAAAAAATCATAGTTTTTCTGTATCCTTGGAAATGTGAATTATGATTTTTTGCTGTGGCTTTAAAACCCAGTAATTTTAAAATCAAGTTACTCCAAATTTTGCTTGAGGATGAAATGGAACTAATGTCTTTAATTTAATTACAAAATTAAATTAGAAGCTTTTAGCTTCCATTTTTGAAACATGGTTAAAACTGTGTAGTGGAAAAACCATATTTTAAATCAATTAATTTAAATATTAATGTTCTATAAATTTACATTGAGCACTATTTTGTAAAAATAAAAATATCTATAAGAACACCGGATTATATATCTTACTGTTCTTTCTTTTTATTTATATGTGTGTGTGTGTGTGTGTGTGTGTGTATTTGATTTGTCTGATGTTCAATATAACAATGTGAATTATAATTTTTTTCTTTTCTGGACAAAATTGTCCAAATGTTTTGCATGTTCAAGAACTTTTGGCTATTTTTTAGCCATTATCAAGGATGTACAGAACACACTCCATGATTTATGACAAGAAAAGAAAAGATTAAGTAATGAACTGCAGTACCTTGTCAGTCATCTTTGACAAAACTTGTATATATATCTATATATATATATGAGTGAAAAATTGGAAAAAATATTTTGAAATGTGTTTTGACTTCATTAGACATTCAGAGGACAAAATACATTATATAGAATTTTTACCACTTTGTAATTCAATTACTGATATATAGAAATTTAAATTTCATATTCTTCTATATATACATATATGTAAGCAAATGTAAATGGATATAGATCCGACAGAATGAAGAAAAATTTGGAAAAAACAAACAAAAATCCTTAAATGCAATTTAAGGATTTTTGTTTGTTTTTTCCAAATTTTTCTTCATATACACACACACATATATATATACATATATATATATATATATATTACTTTAAACTATATTTAGTTGATAAATTGTTTGAGTAGACATCTCATCATATTGTTATATTGAGCGTTCTTGGTCTAACTCAAATGGATTTTCTTTGTTTTTGTTTAAGACAGATACCTGTGAAGCAAGTATCTCTTTAAACAGCCTTACAAATTTGGCCTTACTTGAAACAATGTATAAGATCATGTTCAGACCTATCTATTGAAAGATTTCTCATGATTACAATCCCTTGTCTGTCTGAACACTTGTGAGGTGGCATTCTATTAAGATTATTAAAGGAAAAGGCATGGACCTTTGCTTTTTCTTTTTTGCTTCAGACTGTGTAGGTAGAAGATATGTTCAGTCTTCCCTTCTGGGAAAACTGTGTTGTTTAGCAAACCAACTTCTTAATTTCACACAACCATGTGGAACATTGCACATACACATTAGATCTAAGCACATAAATGTTTTATCGTCTTCATTTTTTATACACATAAATATAATTTTCATTCCTCTTTTGAGTCATGTTGCTCTCTCTATATAAATATATTTATGATAAAATATAGCTTTAAGGTATGCTGTATTTATGTGATAAATTGCTCAATATCAGAGATAGAGCATACTAGCAGTAGAGCCCGGCGTTGCCCAGAGATATAACTGTAAGAGATAGATCAAGTATCCACCATCATAAAGACTGAAAAATAAAATTGACAAAGATTATTGTTTAAGGTTGACAGACACGCATGTCTTAATTAGTTTTTTTTTTTGTTTTTTTTACGAATTGGTCAAATCCAAACTCAAACAAAAACATTGTTTTCAATCGTTATGGATCTACCGATTGAATAGAATTTTATTATAAACAATTGTCTTGTAAATGGAATTTTTAAGCATTCAGAATGTAAAAATAAAGAAAAAAGTGTGCAAGACAATAAGAAACACTACATGCCAAAAAAAAAGTGAAGTTTTGTTGAAATCGGTTGAAAAATGTAGGTAGCCTTTCTGTAATCTTTTAGTTTTACAATTTATGATTTTTACTTATTGAATACAGTAAAAAAAATTGCATATTTTGCTTGTGGTGATTCATAATTAGAATTCTGATTTGAATATATTTTCCACTCGTTGTTTCTAATACAAAAAATATTAACTTTATTTGGGTTTATTAATTATGATCTAAGAAATCTTATTCATTTAGTAGCCTTTCTGTAATAATAATCTTTTACAATTTATGATTTTTACTTATTGAATACAGTAAAAAAAATTGGACACCATGTGTATTTAAAGTAGATTCCAGTTATTATTTTTAGTTAGGAGGACTTGTGTATGTTTAGATTTCATTATCTTTCCCTGAAGATAAAGAATTATCTGATGTTTGGATTTGTACAATCAGTAGAGATCATTAGATTATTGTTTAAGGTTGACGGACACGCATGTCTTAATTAGTTTTTTTTTTTTTTACGAATTGGTCAAACCCAAACTCAAACAAAAACATTGTTTTCAATCGTTATGAGTCTCCCGATTGAATAGAATTTTATTATAAACAATTGTCTTGTAAATGGAATTTTTGAAGCATTCTGAATATTAAAAATAAAGAGAAAAGTGTGCAAGAGAATAAGAAATACTACCTGCCAAAAAAAAAAGTGAATTTTTGTTTTATCGGCTGAAAAATGTAGGAAATTCGATCCCATATATAAAGGAACCCACACACACAAACAACCTGGGTTTTTAACCAGATGTGAGTTGTCCCACTTTCATTCTTACAATGTCTCTTAATCATATTTTCAAATTGATTTTGTGCAAAAACAATTGTATTTTTCCCATTTTTGGCGCTGTTAGAACCACCACAAGGTAATTTTATGTAGTTCTGTGAAGTTTTGTTGAAATCGGTTGAAAAATGTAGGAAATCCGATCCAATATATAAACGTTACACACACACACACACACACACACACACAATCTGCGTTTTATAATAAGTAAGATGTAAATATAAAAGTGGACATTGAAGTCAACACCCAATGGCAACTACCTCAATATCTACTTTTATATAAATATATTTATAAATATCCTTCATATGTTGAATACATTTCCTTTGAAAATGTTGATTTAATTTGTTTTGAAGTTTTCATCCTCATCAGCAACAAGTTGTAACTCCTCCCATTACAGATTTATTGCATTTGCTTTGAAAGATTTTTGGTTATATCTGAAGTTAATTCATTCCATGCTTCCAAGATCCAATTTATAATGGTACATCAGGATAGAGAACAAAATTATCTGAACATCAAACTAATTTTAATTATTTATGATATTCAGTAAATAATTCTATCATTTATATCATGTTATAATGAGGTAATCTATCAGCCTTTATCTGTGAGCTGTAAATCTTTTAAAACAACTTACCATATATATTTGTGCATAAGCTTACTTCATGTATAGTGCGACCCTTGTCATTTTTTTGTGAAAAACTTTAATTTTTTTTTTATATAGCCCATGTATAATGCGACCCCAGCTTCTGAGCAATACTAGTAGATCTGCTGTAGTCAAATATTGCAATATTGGGCATCATCCCCAGCATATTTTATGGCAAATAAATGATCTTCATTGTTTTTTATACAAAGCTTACCCAAAATGGTGAGAAACCACTTACTGTAAAATAACTGATACAAAGATTTAGATACTGTACTTTTGTTTTACAGTCACTGAAAATGCAGGAATTTTGTCCAGAAATAATTTTCCTGTGTATACTGCAAGTGTTACCGAAAATGCATGATTTTATTCCCTTCAAAAAAATTGCCTATGTATAGTGTGATCATCTATTTTTTGCATAAAAAAACTGATCTTAAAAAACTTGCACTATACTTAAGTATATAAAGTACATTTACATGATGTTTTATACTACAATTGTAGTATAGAACATCAAATAAGCATTCTGAATCTTCTTTGCTAAAAGAAAAAAAGTGAATACAAAGTATTTTAGAATTCAGTTTAAGCTTCATTAATTAATTTTTATCATTGTAATCAAATTAACAATTGGTGCAACAAAGAGCCAGAAATGGAAGTTTATTTTAAAAGCTTCCCGTCCCACTGGGAGTAATGCATTTTAGTTTCAGTTTAGGTCTGTGGTAGTTTGCAACTGTAGTCATCTAAAGAAATTCAAAGAATTTTTTGTTTGTACACATGGAATAAATTTAGCTTATTTAATTGAAGTAAGTATAAGATTTATATTATTTACTTCAGCCTTAATATATTATTTCATGTTTATTGAAAAAACAAACATTTTTGTGTGAAATTCAATGTAATTTAGGACTTTAGGTTTTAACACTTGTAAGTTTAACAATTTTCATTTAAAATTAATTTAATTTTCTTTATGAAATTTTTATTCATCAAAACATACATGATAATGATCAATGTGAATTTTTTCTAACAGGTAAAAATGTATGTTGATTTTTTTCCACATTTCTTCTACTGTCAATTAAATTAAAGAAAAATGCTTTGAAGGAAAAATGCATAATTTTATTTGAGTTAGAGAAATAATTTATTAATCAGATAGTTTTTCTTCTTACAAATGTTACAAAGACTCAAGAAAATTAAAGATTTTTTATGTATAATTTTTAACAGAAACTTTTCATCAAAAAATCTTTTCTTCCATTTTGTTTCTACACTGCAAAATCTATTTAAAAGTGCATTATTTGTTATATGAAGTTAATTTAATATTTATCTCTATGATACTGTTATTCATAATAACAAATATGTTGATGATAAAATTTCTCATTTTTATGAGTAATTTGTGTTTTTCTTTCTAAAAGGATTTTTTAAAGATGTATGCTAAATTTTAGTTGAGTTTACCATTAAAAAAGCACAAAATAAAAGCAAATGTATATATTTTTATACTAAATTAAAATGAAAATTATCATTTATTAAGAATGTTTAACTTTATTGCAAAATTTTTGAAATTCAAAAATTATGAAATAGGCCTCCAGTTCTAGTCCCTCAAATGTACCACAAGTAGGACTGTAATATAGGACCCCATACTTCAACTTGTGAATGCTTGCAATTCAGGAATGAGTTTTGGAACTGAAGCTGAATGGTTTTCAGTATCTAAGTCAACTGTACACTAAGTATATCACAAAAAATATCACAAGACAAAAACAGTTGCAATTCTACCTGGAAGACGCTGTAAGCCTAAACTCTCTCTAAGATTGCAAAGAAAGATTGTCTGAGAATACAAGAAGAACCCTAAAGTGCTGAGAGATAGTGTCTCTGATTTGTCAACAATGGCGTAAATGTCTCATGTCATATGGCAAGCAGTGTGCTCAACAAGCATGTTTTACACTGTTCAAGAAAAACATCTTTACTCAAAATTTCATCATTGCAAAGCTTCATTGGAATGTGCATGTGACGGCTGAAAAGATAGGGATTTTAGGAACTCAGTTTTAAAGTGATATCTAGTAGATTTTTTATACTACACTGTAAGTAGATTAACAATTTTATGATTTTTTTAAATTTATAATACAAGTCATTCCAAAACACATAGAAAGTCATTAATTTTGTATACCAAATACTGACTCTACCATTACTCCTTAGGCATTTATATAGTCTATATAATTAGGCAATCATTTACATATCACTACAGTTTTTAAATTAAAATATTTCAATTTTCTGAAATTATTTTTATTTATTTTTCTAAACAAAATTTACAAAATAGAAATGATTTTATTATGAAACAAAAAATAATGAAATGTATAATAGAATGAAATGTATCTTTATCAGCTTTGCAAAGAAAAATCTTTTTACAATATTTTTGCCATCAATATTTTTTTCTTTTAAAAATCTCTGTTTCTCATAGATGAGTCATAAAAAGCAACCATTTCCCTCTTAGTGTTTTTACTTACCTACAGGTATATTAGAGGCTTGCAAGGCTTGTTCAGTAGCAATCCATGCATAACCTTTTGAAGTCAATTCTAAATCACTGGCATCAGCAAATAAGCGTTCTGAATCTTCTTTGCTAAAAGAACAAAAGTGAACATATTATTTTAGAATTATAGAGTATTTTAGAATTCATTTTAAGCTTCATTAATTCATTTTTATCATTGTATTATAAATAATGAGAATGACAAATCAACAATTTAAGATAATAAAAAATTATTATATTTTCAAAGTTTAATTAGTCCAAATATAAAAAGAAGTTATTGACATTTATTCAACTTAGTTTAGTTCAGCAAAAGGTAAAATGGGAAGAAATTCGGGTAGGAAGATTTTCTTGTTTCACTCTTGGATAGGACTTGTCTGTTCACTGTGAAAATCAGAATTTTCAGTTTACTGGACAAACTCCACATGGATGCAGAGGAAACTGGAGACAGCAGAAATGTGGTTCTACAGAAGGATACTGAGAATTCCATGGATGGAATGAGTAAACAACAAGGGCTCTTAAAGAAAATGGCAAAAGAAGGAACACATACTCATAATCAGGAGAAGAAAGCTGAAATTCTTTGGATATATAATGAGGAAGGAGTGCTTGGGAAACAAAACCCTCATGAGACACTGGGGGTAAAAGAGATAGGGGAAGGCAGTGTGTCACTTACATGACGAGCTTGTATGAATGGATGGTGAAAAGGGTGGGGTAGGAGCCTTAGAAAAAGAAGAAAAACTGCTAAGGGTCACAAGAGATAGGAAGTTGTGGAAAGCCATGATCACCTACATCCTGAAGGGATGTGGGACATAGAAGAAGAAAAATATCTTCCATTGCTTATTTTATTCTTCTAGATCTTTTATTGGGCATAGAAATGTAACCATGCCATATCAGCAGACTTGGTTATCTGCAATTCCTTCCAGCTGGGTTGATATCAGTCTGGCTATTTTTGCTTCACTTGAGACTGTTCTCTTCCAAGTCTCCATTGCATGCCCAATTATTCTCTTTTCATGTTCATTCCAGTCCAGTGTCTATCTTGTGATATTGTCAACTGCTTTATGCAGGATGTCCAATTTACTTTCACTTTCACATTGGCAATCTTGTAAAAATTATTTTGCATACAAGTTTGAGCTGTTCAGTTTTTTTTAGTGAGGAGAATGCAATTTTGTCACTTTCCCTTGTTTTTTATTACATAAAAAGAAATTCCCTTTTTGCATGTGTGGTTTTCCATTTATATACTAGCTGCCCCAAATTTGTCCCTGACTCAAGCATCAAGGGAGTGAACAAGAACCTTTTTGGTTGCATTTTTACATTAATATTTTTATGAAGCAATATTTGAGTTGCTATTATTTTTTCTTTTTTTATTGTATTTGGACTATAACTACCAGTGATTAGTAGATGGTGACTTAGCCTTTTTGTTGGTGTCAAACTATGCTACACTTTTGAAGATTACTAAGACTACAACTTAAGTCAGCTTAAAAGTTGCCACCTCCTTGTAGATTCTTGAAGAACTTTCAGGCACTCAAGAAGGAAAGTTTATTTTCTCATTGCAGGTGTTGCTCAACTTTACCTCATCAAATTTTCCTTTTCATGTAGTGACAAACCCTTGTAACTACATTTTCTATCTTTTATAGATTGGTGGTGACAGGGACATAGTAAAGTCACTACAATCTTCACAGGTCACCTGATGTTCAGCATATGTTAAGGTGTCTTTTAAAAAAAGGTCTTGAGATTGTTGGCAATGGTGTCTAAAACCATGACTCAGATCCATACAAGAGAACAGCATCCACATTAATGCTGAAGATTCTTATTCATTATTTGCTGCTGGTGAGAATTATGCAACTACCTCAACCACTGAGCTAACAAGTAGAAAATAATTATTGTTACAAATTTTGAAGCTGATAAATCATTGAAATATTTTTTTTCAAAGGAATTAATGGATTTTTTTTAACTTGATATTATTTCTTATTACTCAAAATGCCATTTTTATTTATTTTATTTTAATTTTTTTTTATAAGCAGACACCCTGTTTATTTTTAAACAGTGTAAATTATACCTATTAGCCTGCACATTAAAACCCTACAGGAGAATATATTTTTTTTTATTAAGTCTCTCAAATACATTAGCTGATAGACATAATTTACACTATAAAAAAAACAAAAAAAAACAAAGTAATAAGAAATTATTATATATATATATATATATATATATATATATATATATTATTCAACTCTCCCGTCATATTCAACATATGAGGGTCAAGCAGCTTAGTTCCTAGGAACTGACAGCCAGACACCAGCAGATGTGATTTGATTATAGTGGTAAAGGTTTTGTGCAGAACCATCCACACTTTTTGAAGGACTGAATACAGAGACCCAGTTCACTATGTGCCACAAGGTCCCCAAACAACCCCCCACAGGTTTTGAATTCAGAGTTGTCCTTCTCCTAGATCAGTTGCCATCCAAGGCAAGTATAGAACCTAGATATCCTGCTATTTACCCATACCCAGAGGGAGAAGAAGAGGATTCATACCTTTCCCAAGGGTATTAGCATGTAAGTGAATGTAATGGATTCAACTGGAATTCAAACTTGGCTCTCCGATACTTCAATCCATTACTCCACTGTGCCTCCTCTAAATATATATGTATATATATATATATATAGTCAATGTTGAAATTATTTGTACACCCATCAATTTTGAATATTTTAATCTATTTCTCACAGAATCTAATGCCTGTATTATGCTAGTTGTTTTTATATGTTAATCAGCACAAAAAAAAAAAATATAAAACTCAACTTGCGGAAGAATAGGTTAGATACAACAAATTTGATGGGTGAATTATGCAAAATAGGAAAAGACAAAATTATTCATACAGTAGAAAATATCATTTTAAAGTGATTGATTGCGTAAGTAATTTACATAACTATTTTATTGGTGAAGCTGTGTAGACAATTTATTCAGTAAAATATTTGTGATAATTCCAGCAAAGAACATCATGTGGTACATAGAATGTCACCATTGTTATTCTTACGTTAACAACATGATAGAGAAGACAAAGGAGTTTAGTGTTGACTTGAGACAGAGAATTATTAACTTCCACAAGTTGGGAAATAGTTACAGCATTATTTAAAACTGGTTAGTTATCACTAGATCTATGGTACAGTCCATTATAAAGAAATTTAAACAGTTTGGTATGACAGAGAATTTAACTGAGTGTGAAAGGAGACCCAAATTGTCACTGACAACTAAAACGAAAACTGTGTCACGAGGTTAATATAAACCCAAGAGTTGTATTGAAAGACATTGCCAAAAGTTTGGATATGATGGGTATCAGCAGAAATGCTTGCACAATACAACATTGTTTAAATAGAAATGATTTGTATGGAAATCAACCATAACGAACATGTCTTCACAAACCATGTCACATTGTTGCTTGGTTTAATTTTGCCAAAACATTCTTGGGTAAAGAAAAGTGCTTTTGGCAAAAAGTACTATGGAGTGATGAAACAAAATTTGAGCTTTTTGGACATAATAATGTACAGAAGATTTGGTGCAAGAAATGGGAGGCTTTCCTCTCAAAGAACACAATGGCAACATTAAAACATAGAAGCAGCTTGGAGATGTTTTGGGGTTGTTTTAGCTCAAGGGGGACTGGACAATTAATTGCAATAAGGGGAATAATGAAATCTGCAGACTATATAAAAATTTGGGATGAATATCTACAACTATCAGTGCAAAATATTCATCTAGGTCAGCAATTTACTTTCCAGCAAGGTAATAATCCCAAACATACATCCAAATCAGTGACTGTGTGGCTTCAGAAAAAGAAGATTACAGTTCTGTCATTGCCTTCAGTGAGTCCTGACTTGAATCCTAATGAAAATATATGGGAAGAATGGAAATTTTGAATAAATCGTTGGTCAACAAAAACCTTCAGGAATTAGAATATGTAAGCATAAAATCCCCAAAAAAGACTTGTTCAAATTTCATCAAAAACTTTAGAAAACAATTGCAGCAAGTCATAAGGATGAGAGGTCATGTTATTGACTATTAATATTGTGAAAATGGTTCAATTTTTTCTATTTTTCATACTGTATGAATAATTTTGTCTTTTCCTATTTTACATAATTTGCTTGTCAAATTTGTCGTATTTAACCTATTATTCTGAAAATTGAGTTTTATATTCCTTTTTTTATGTTGATTAACATAGAAAAAACCTGGCATCATATGGGCATTAGATTCTGAGAAATGGATAAAAAATATTCAAAATTGATGGGTGTACAAATACAAATATATCATTGACTGTATGTATATGTGTATATACACACACACTACAGTTCCAAAGTTTGAAGTCATTGCCAGAATTAGCAGTGGATGAACTTGACAGAAAAGTGAAAAAAAAAGAAAAAGAGCTCTTAGAATCATTGAAAAAAAAATGGATTCAATTATCAAACTTATACTTTGAGAAACTTTTACAACAAATACTAAAACTTAGTGCTGCAGTAATCAAGGCTAAAGGATGATATTTTGACAAGTGCAAAATTTAATTATAAAATGCTATTTTCTTTTTGTCATAATAAAATTTCTAATAAAAATAATGTCTCACTTTTTTTAGCCATGTATAATAATTTTCTCTTATTCTCTTATTTAAAGTAGAAAACAAGTACATTTTTTAAATAATTTAAAAATTCCCAGAGGTGTCTGTATATATATATATATATATATATATATATATATATATATATATGCATGTTTCCTTAAAACAACAGACAAGGTACTATGGTTAAGGTTTTTATTTAATTTTTCTTGTGTTTGAACAAGAGCTTTCTTTTGACAAAGAGTGTGTAAAAACTGTCCAAATGTTTTATAGTTCTGAGCACTTTCGGCTATACCTTTAGCCTTTATCAAGGATGATTCAATTATTTTAGCTTAATTGAGTGTGTGCATTATGTATATGTTTTAGTGTGTTGTAGAGATGTTTTTAATTTCCGAATATGGTTAGCACATTGTGGCCTTGTTCGTAGTTAATATTGTTAAGAGTTGTTTTTTTCTTTTTTATTATTAAAGCTTCCATTATTTTTAATCATTTTTTACAGGTGGATGCAGTTATTTGTGTTTTCTACTAGTATGTTTCTAATGGAGTCTGGTAAATTTGTGTGTGTGTTTAAATGGGTTCTAATGGAGCTGTGATCAGATAGGTGTAACGCAAGACGTCTGGATAAGCATGTGGTTGTGTAACTGATGTAATTATTTATGAGTCCGGTTTAATAAGGAACACAGTTCCTTAAGGGGCATTTGAACACAGTTCCTTAAGGGGCATTTGAACTCATAAATAGTGTTCATTCTTTGTAATTTTGACTTAACTGGTGTGTTTTTTTGAGGATATTTTTGAGGATAAGGTTAGCTGACTTAAATTTTTTACAATAGATAATTAATTTGAGTTTTTTATTCAGGTCAATTGGGGTAGTGTATTTGTTTATAATATGTCTAAGTGAAGATTCATCTTGTTTGTAGTTAATGTGCATTTGGTTTTTGTAATAAATGTTTATGTAATTTTTGACTGTGTTGACTATTGTTATTACTTACTTTGGGGAGAAATAATCTAATTTGGTGGTCTATACGGTTTTTAGAGAAGCTGTTGTTGATATATATATATATATATATATATATAAAGAAGTAATGTTTTTTTTTTATTAATTCAACAGATTTCATCAATTTAAATGTTATTTTTAATGGATACACATATTTGAGAAGGGACTCAGTTTATTTATTAAAAAGTATATTTATTTATTTTTGTCTACCAGCCTGAATATACAAGAAATCTTATCAAACGAAAAATATGTGCTTTCTGGTAGGATTCAAACCTGCATCCCACTTGGCAGGAGAAACCAACATTAAATTTTATGGACTTTAGACCATTTTGGCCACAGAGCATGTTAACAATCAGCATATATACTGTTTGTTTAATAAACAAACAGATCATCTATTCAAATATAGGTACCCCACTAAAACAATGTTTAAGTAATCAAATATAAATGTGTGTGTAACAGCAAAATTGTCCAAATTATGTAACAGCATAATTGTCCATCCCATAAAATGTTTAATATCTAAAAAAAAAAAAAACAGTAAACTAATTGAGTCTCTTTTTTTCAGGTTTTCAGATAAGACATTTAGCCATCTTGACACTATTTGTCGTAAGAATTACTGAAAAGCCCTTTGATTTATTCAGCTAGAAAGAGAACAGGTTAAAATTGTTTTGTATCGGCTCCACTGGCTTCCCAAATACCCAATAGTGAGAAGAAAAAGATCATTCAGGCCTTCAGTAATGGTACCAACATTCATACTCTGTCTTCCATCTTCAAAGTCCATTCAAGAACCACCAAGAGAACGGTGAATAAGTATTAAAAAAGAGGGAACAGTAGAATGGAAAACTGGATCAGGTCACAACAGGAAGAGGGATCATCATTCCAATTTAGAACTAAAGAGATCAATTAGAAAAGATCCAACTCAATCAAGATGTTTGGCAAATAAGAGAGAAGTTTCAGCAATGATAGTCCAAAGAGCAGTGAAAAATAACTTGAAAATGAAATTGTACTTGAAACCTTTGAGGCACCTTGTTACTCCAGGACAGAACATTAGAAGGTTAGAGAGAATGAAGATCATCTTGAATAAGTTGGAAAATGATCCTGGAATGATATATAATTTTTTTGTCTTAATTTCAGTCCTTCATAAGTTTCCAATCCTTAGCTAGGATTAATTAATGATTTTTGTTTATGATTGATTTCATCGCAATTCTTGTGTTAAACTTGGAGAGTAATTATATATTCTTATTGCTCAAAGTAGAGTCTAATAGTGTTATAAAAATCTCAGAGAATTCCAGTAAGATATCTTTAATTATTTCTAAGATACAATGGTTCAGAGCTTAATCTAACAAATGGACAATTTTGCTGTTACATGTGGTGTGTGTATATGTGTATATATATATATATATATATAAAATTATAGCCACTTAGGCTAATCTGGTAGATGAGATAGTTGCATATTTCTTCCTGATACAAATAGTTTATGCTCAAGCTCAGGAAGAAGAAGATTACTGATTCAGGAAGAAGAAGATGCTGATTCTCAAGAAATGCAAACTTGGATGGGTTAGCCCAACATAGGTTTTCTACTTCCCAGTTCCTTCATATGGCCTTGTGCCAGACAAATCTATATTCTGAGAATATCAATAATCATAAGAGTAACTTTTATATGTTATTTTGAATTTCAAAGTTTCTTAATAATTCAAAGTACTGTAAATGTGAGTATTAGGTTGATACAAATGTTTTCATTATGTACAATATTAGGGAAATCTAAGTAGTGTCTTCAAAGTTTACTCAACTCTTTTTTTTTTTTTGATAAAGCAATCCGTCGACTGTAGTATATCGTTTACAAACCTTAAAATGAAATCTGAATCTAGGAAAATGGATTACACAGGAACTTGCCAGAAGGAACATCAGTTAGTGTTTAAAATTCTGTCGTTTTAGTCTGGCATGACATGGAAAAATGATATTTTTGAACACAATAAAAAAAATGAATTATGAGAATCCAAAATGAAGGAAATTGAGATTAGATTCAGGGCAGTCTCTATTATCTTAATCTAATGGAGCCTTCTAACAGAAAAGTTATTTTCTATGTTTGGCAAAATTTGTAGAGTAGAAATGGAAGGTGTCATTAGATAATGGGGTCTTCCACAGGTAAACACTTGAGGACATGTTACTTCCTTCAGTGTTATATCAACAGCTGAGTGGCTAAGGTATGAGTTTGTTTTTGTATTTGTACCTCATGGGTACAAAAATAAAGTAATTCAGAATTACTAATACTATTGTCATTGTGATTATTTTACAGAACTGAAAGAAAATTCTTTATTATGAATTCCTGGAACTTGGATAAACTGTTTTTGCATAACATTATAGTTAAGAATTGGTTCATCTGAATGAGATATTGGAATGAAAAGACATCTTTCTGTACAAGGAAATTGATGTAATGGAATAATCTGTCACCCCCATGAGTAACTACACTATAGGTAGTAACTACCTATAAGTATCAGTAAGTCAACAGACTACGGAGTTTAGCTGTGATCTGTTCCAGCTATACAGTCGAACTCTCTGCCTTCGGGCAGAGAGGAATCCGGATGAGTCTCCGCCGAAGGGCAGAGTCTCGTTCAGGGAGGTAGACTGCCTCTGAACCCGTTTATATGGCTTCGAAAGGGAATATTTTTGGCCGAGCATACTGGCTTGGAGAACCCACGTTAAACCCAGCCTTGTGCTACATGAAACCCTCGTAGAGGGGGAGGGGCTAAATATACTAGCTGGGATCTGTTGAGTATGACTCAGACTTACGTGAGAACTACCGACCTTCCAATAGTAGCACTCACTACTGAATTGACTTGTGATGATCATGTACATAACTGTTAACTTATTTCTTATTGTACTGGTTTTTACAATAAACATTTACTTATTTTATCTGCCGTGTTGTTCAAGTATATATTCCTATTAACATGGAATATGACAGAAATCAACCTGCAATTTTGTAGGAGGTAAAATATGTAAAAGTAGGGGATCTGTATATTACTTGGTTGTAAAACAAAAGTCATCCTCCATTTAAAATTTAGTAGCACTGAACTTTCAATGTTCAGCTAATCTGGCAACTATGCCTTCAAAAATGTTTTATGGTGTAGATTCCATATATTTTTCTACTCTAGAAAACATACATCAGTATAGTTTGCTAGATTGGGCCACTTTCAAAAGATTAGTGTTAGTAAATTTTGAATTTTATTACTTGTGACTTTTTCAGTTGGGCTAACTTTGTCTACTAATGAGAAGAAATTAAAAATTTAGCAGCATTAGTCTTTCAAAATGTAGCTCAATTCAATTCTTGTAGGCCAATGTGACTTCTCTGGTCTCAACCCTCCACACTGAGAGACTGTTATTCTGGCTCTGTGTCAGATTAAACTTAATCAATATCTATAATGCATTGATTGAGTGAGTGGGGAGAACTGGTTAGATTCAGAGATTGTAGATCAAGGAACAATAAATTCAATTGATACTCACGAAGCATATAATAAGATGATCCGAGACTGTAAACTTTTCAAGGTAAGCAAAACATCCGTATAATTTTCAACACCTGGAAATATTCTAATTGTTTTCTCGATCTGAAAAATATGGAAAAAGTTAGAATTAAAATACTATTTATTAATAATAAATAAATAAAATAAATTAAGGCAAAATAGTAAAAACACATCAAATAGTATTTTCAAATGCTGTAGTGTATCAAAAATATTGGTTGATTCATTTTTTATGAATCATCAACCCTTTGCAGGTTATTTAAAGCCAGAAAATATTTCTTTGGTGGGGAGATGATAATGGTTTAATAATACAAGACATACTGATTAACCTATAGTTGGGGACAGAAGAAATGTATCGATATCTTTTTTTTTATATTTGCATGTAAGGGAATATAATTAACTTAAAATAAATATAAATAATTAACAAGGAATTGGAATTCAGCAATCTGATTAATCAATATCCATTACAGAACCTGGTATTCCCAAGCATTCAACCATCTAGGTACTGAACAGGCTCAAAATTGCGTAACTTTGAGTGATCATACTGGAACTAGTGTTTTAATCTGAGGTGGTTGTAAGCCTGTGTAAAAAGTATTTTTGTTTTCTAAACAACATTTAAGCAGACAGTTATAATAAAAACTCATATAATATTCTCTAGATGGTATCTTCCAATGTTCCTAGTAACTGTTGATAGTTGTGTCCTGTTCTATTGAGTGCTGGTTGTTGGATCTTCCTCTATCTTCTAATGACCCTAGTTCTACTGACTGTTGGTGTTTGGGTCTTCCTCTATCTTCTAATGACCCTAGTTCTACTGACTGTTGGTGTTTGGGTCTTCCTCTATCTTCTAATGACCTTAGTTCTACTGACTGTTGGTGTTTGGGTCTTCCTCTATCTTCCAATGAATCTAGTTCTACTGACTGTTGGTGTTTGGGTCTTCCTCTATCTTCTAATGACCTTAGTTCTACTGACTGTTGGTGTTTGGGTCTTCCTCTTCTATCTTCCAATGAATCTTAGTTCTAGTGACTGTTGGTGTTTGGGTCTTCCTCTATCTTCTAATGACCTAGTTCTACTGACTGTTGGTGTTTGGGTCTTCCTCTATCTTCAATGAATCTAGTTCTACTGACTGTTGGTGTTTGGGTCTTCCTCTATCTTCCAATTCTGACTGTTGGTGTTGGGGTCTCTCTCTAGTTCTACTGACTGTTCTGTTGGTGTTTGGGTCTTCCTCTATCTTCCAATGAATCTAGTTCTACTGACTGTTGGTGTTTGGGTCTTCCTCTCTTCTATCTTCTACTGACTGTTGGTGTTTGGGTCTTCTCTATCTTCTAATGACCTAGTTCTACTGACTGTTGGTGTTTGGGTCTTCCTCTATCTTCTAATGACCTTTGACTAGTTTCTACTGACTGTTGGTGTTTGGGTCTTCCTCTATCTTCTAATGACCTTAGTTCTACTGACTGTTGGTGTTTGGGTCTTCCTCTATCTTCTAATGACCCTAGTTCTACTGACTGTTGGTGTTTGGGTCTTCCTCTATCTTCTAATGACCTTGATTCTACTGACTGTTGGTGTTTGGGTCTTCCTCTATCTTCTAATGACCTTGGTTCTACTGACTGTTGGTGTTTGGGTCTTCTCTATCTTCTAATGACCCTAGTTCTACTGACTGTTGGTGTTTGGGTCTTCCTCTATCTTCTAATGACCCTAGTTCTACTGACTGTTGGTGTTTGGGTCTTCCTCTATCTTCTAATGACCCTAGTTCTACTGACTGTTGGTGTTTGGGTCTTCCTCTATCTTCTAATGACCCTAGTTCTACTTGTTGGTTCTATCTTCCAATGACTAGTTCTACTGACTGTTGTTTTGGGTCTTCCTCTATCTTCTAATGAATCTAGTTCTACTGACTGTTGGTGTTTGGGTCTTCCTCTATCTGTCTTCAATGAATCTTGGTTCTTCCTCTACTTCAATGACTGTTGGTGTTTGGGTCTTCCTCTATCTTCTAATGACCTTAGTTCTACTGACTGTTGGTGTTTGGGTCTTCCTCTATCTTCCAATGAATCTAGTTCTACTGACTGTTGGTGTTTGGGTCTTCCTCTATCTTCCAATGAATCTAGTTCTACTGACTGTTGGTGTTTGGGTCTTCCTCTATCTTCTAATGAATCTTAGTTCTACTGACTGTTGGTGTTTGGGTCTTCCTCTATCTTCCAATGAATCTAGTTCTACTGACTGTTGGTGTTTGGGTCTTCCTCTATCTTCTAATGACCTTAGTTCTACTGACTGTTGGTGTTTGGGTCTTCCTCTATCTTCCAATGAATCTAGTTCTACTGACTGTTGGTGTTTGGGTCTTCCTCTATCTTCTAATGACTAGTTCTACTGACTGTTGGTGTTTGGGTCTTCCTCTATCTTCTAATGAATCTAGTTCTACTGACTGTTGGTGTTTGGGTCTTCCTCTATCTTCCAATGAATCTAGTTCTACTGACTGTTGGTGTTTGGGTCTTCCTCTATCTTCTAATGACCTTAGTTCTACTGACTGTTGGTGTTTGGGTCTTCCTCTATCTTCCAATTCTACTGACTGTTGGTGTTTGGGTCTTCCTCTATCTTCTAATGTTCTACTGACTGTTGGTGTTTGGGTCTTCCTCTATCTTCCAATGAATCTAGTTCTACTGACTGTTGGTGTTTGGGTCTTCCTCTATCTTCTAATGAATCTAGTTCTACTGACTGTTGGTGTTTGGGTCTTCCTCTATCTTCAATGAATCTAGTTCTACTGACTGTTGGTGTTTGGGTCTTCCTCTATCTTCTAATGACCTCTAGTTCTACTGACTGTTGGTGTTTGGGTCTTCCTCTATCTTCCAATGAATCTAGTTCTACTGACTGTTGGTGTTTGGGTCTTCCTCTATCTTCCAATGAATCTACTGTTCTACTTCCAATGAATCTAGACTGTTGGTGTTTGGGTCTTCCTCTATCTTCCAATGAATCTAGTTCTACTGACTGTTGGTGTTTGGGTCTTCCTCTATCTTCCAATGAATCTAGTTCTACTGACTGTTGGTGTTTGGGTCTTCCTCTATCTTCAATTTGGGTCTTCCTCTATCTAGTTCTACTGACTGTTGGTGTTTGGGTCTTCCTCTATCTTCCAATGAATCTAGTTCTACTGACTGTTGGTGTTTGGGTCTTCCTCTATCTTCTAATGAATCTAGTTCTACTGACTGTTGGTGTTTGGGTCTTCCTCTATCTTCCAATGAATCTAGTTCTACTGACTGTTGGTGTTTGGGTCTTCCTCTATCTTCTAATGAACCTAGTTCTACTGACTGTTGGTGTTTGGGTCTTCCTCTATCTTCAATGAATCTAGTTCTACTGACTGTTGGTGTTTGGGTCTTCCTCTATCTTCCAATGAATCTAGTTCTACTGACTGTTGGTGTTTGGGTCTTCCTCTATCTTCCAATGACCTTAGTTCTACTGACTGTTGGTGTTTGGGTCTTCCTCTATCTTCTAATGAATCTAGTTCTACTGACTGTTGGTGTTTGGGTCTTCCTCTATCTTCTAATGACCTTAGTTCTACTGACAGTTGGTGTTTGGGTCTTCCTCTATCTTCCAATGAATCTAGTTCTACTGACTGTTGGTGTTTGGGTCTTCCTCTATCTTCCAATGAATCTAGTTCTACTGACTGTTGGTGTTTGGGTCTTCCTCTATCTTCTAATGAATCTAGTTCTACTGACTGTTGGTGTTTGGGTCTTCCTCTATCTTCCAATGAATCTAGTTCTACTGACTGTTGGTGTTTGGGTCTTCCTCTATCTTCTAATGAATCTAGTTCTACTGACTGTTGGTGTTTGGGTCTTCCTCTATCTTCTAATGACCTTAGTTCTACTGACTGTTGGTGTTTGGGTCTTCCTCTATCTTCCAATGAATCTAGTTCTACTGACTGTTGGTGTTTGGGTCTTCCTCTATCTTCCAATGACCTAGTTCTACTGACTGTTGGTGTTTGGGTCTTCCTCTTCTAATCTTTCTAATGACTGTTGGTGTTTGGGTCTTCCTCTATCTTCTAATGAATCTGACTGACTGTTGGTGTTTGGGTCTTCCTCTATCTTCTAATGAAATCTAGTTCTACTGACTGTTGGTGTTTGGGTCTTCCTCTATCTTCTAATGACCTTAGTTCTACTGACTGTTGGTGTTTGGGTCTTCCTCTATCTTCTCCAATGAATCTAGTTCTACTGACTGTTGGTGTTTGGGTCTTCCTCTATCTTCCAATGAATCTAGTTCTACTGACTGTTGGTGTTTGGGTCTTCCTCTATCTTCTAATGAATCTAGTTCTACTGACTGTTGGTGTTTGGGTCTTCCTCTATCTTCTAATGAATCTAGTTCTACTGACTGTTGGTGTTTGGGTCTTCCTCTATCTTCCAATGACCTTGTTCTACTGACTGTTGGTGTTTGGGTCTTCCTCTATCTTCAATGAATCTAGTTCTACTGACTGTTGGTGTTTGGGTCTTCCTCTGTCTTCCAATGAATTCTAGTTCTACTGACTGTTGGTGTTTGGGTCTTCCTCTATCTTCCAATGAATCTAGTTCTACTGACTGTTGGTGTTTGGGTCTTCCTCTATCTTCTAATGAATCTAGTTCTACTGTTGGTGTTTGGGTCTTCCTCTTCTTCCAATGAATCTAGTTCTACTGTTTGGTGTTTGGGTCCTCTATCTTCTAATGACCTTAGTTCTACTGACTGTTGGTGTTTGGGTCTTCCTCTATCTTCCAATGAATCTAGTTCTACTGACTGTTGGTGTTTGGGTCTTCCTCTTCTAGTTCCTCTTCTAATCTTGGTGTTTGGGTGTTTCCTCTATCTTCCAATGAATCTAGTTCTACTGACTGTTGGTGTTTGGGTCTTCCTCTATCTTCCAATGACCTTAGTTCTACTGACTGTTGGTTTGTTTGGTTCTTCTAATGGCCTTAGTTCTACTGACTGTTGGTGTTTGGGTCTTCCTCTATCTTCTAATGACCTCTAGTTCTACTTCCAATGACTGTTGGTGTTTGGGTCTTCCTCTATCTTCTAATGACCTTAGTTCTACTGACTGTTGGTGTTTGGGTCTTCCTCTATCTTCCAATGAATCTAGTTCTACT